GCGGCAGTATACCTGCAGTGGTGCCGTCTTAATCTGTGTGGCTAGCCTTTCAGCTTGAAGAATATTCAGATTCTTGGTGGTGGACCTGTGTATTAGGCGTGATGCACCGTTGAATTTCTGAATAAATGGAATTCTATCCATTGAAGGTTTGTCCTTCTTCGTCGTGGAAGACATCTTGGTGATGGCTTGGTCAAGGGCATGGTCTAATATGGTCACTGGGTAACCCCATTGCCGGAACTTGCTATACATGGCTTCGAGTTGTGCGCAGCATGCGTCCTTGTCCGAACAAATACGCAGAACCCGCATGAATTGGGATATGAGCAGATTGTCCAGTAGGTGTCGGGGATGGGAGCTTCGGTAATGTAGAATCGTATTGCGGTCAGTGGGTTTGCTGAATAGGGTTGTGTGTAGTTGACCATCAGAAATATTGATTAGCACATCAAGAAAGGTGATGTGGTCATTGCTGAATTCAGGGTTGAAAATAATCCCTGGAAAGATAGAGTTGAGAAATTCGGTGAAGACCTGGAAAGTGGCTGTCTATCCCTGCCAGATGACAAAAATGTCATCGATGTAGCGGACCCAAAATACCACATGGGTCATAAATAGTTCTGAGGGGTGAATGAAGATCTCTTCCAAAAAACCCATAAACAGATAAGCAAATGATGGGGCAGCAGAGCTGCCCATCGCGGTCCCCTTGGTTTACCGGTACATATAATTTTCAAACATGAAAAAAATATTCTCCAAGACAAAACGTAAACAAGACAATATGAACTCTATGGGCATTAGATTGTCTTTCGAGAGACCTAGGAAGTGGGAAACTGCGTCCAGCCCAGATTCATTGGGGATGCAGGTGTATAGGGACGAAATGTCCATAGTGGCCAAATGCCATTCATCACTGGTCGTTTTGAACTGTTGTAGTTTGTGCAGAAAATCACAGGTGTCCCTCAGACTTCTGAGTTCACAAGCAGCTTTGCGTGTAATGTATCGCTTTATGATCCTATAGCTAGTCTCATCACTCAATAGTAACAACATACCTTTTCTGTATTGAGCGTAGTCCATAACCACGATTGCTCCCCCTTTGTCGGCCAGCTTGATGATGATCGTTGTGTCCTGCTTTAACTCCTTGAGGGCAATGAACTCATCCTTGCTCAGATTCGCATGTGTTCTGCATCTGGAGGTGGAGTAGAGGACCTCATACTTCAAAGTCCTAGTCCGACTGGAAATTGCCTGGTGGCATGAATTTGCTCTTGGTCCTTAACAGGGGTGCAGCGTTGGGTGTGGACACAGTAGGTAGTTTTGAAAAATGTTGTTTAAGCTTGAGAGATCTTTCATGTTTGAATAATTCCACTTCAAACCCAAAGGGGTCGAATTTTTCCATGGGGGAAAATGAAAGACCTTTGGCTAGTAAGCTGCATTCACCCATCGTGAGTGCTCTGGAAGAGAGGTTTATCACCGGGCTCTCTTGCTCTGTTTGCCTCGATTCGCTCTCGTGTTGACCCCTCTTGGTCCATTGGCTCCGCCGGTGTCGTCTGCGCCTCCTGCCAGGTGAAAAGGGTGCGTCGTATTATCTCGATGTGGGCGGCTGGCAGACGGGCCCTGGTCGCTGTCTGTTGATGGATTCTCCGTGGGCCGCTCACTGTCGGAGGATAAGGTAGCTCTCGTTCCTTGTTGCCTAGGGCGCCCTCTGGACCTTTGATATGTAGGTCTATTACATCTGCGGTTACCGCCGGTAAGCCACGGATAGACCCTTCCTTCCTGGTAGTCCTGGTTTACTAGACTGAATTTGTTGCGTTTGATCTGTCTTTGTAGATCCGTATATGTTGAGAGATCAGTTTCTATTTTCCTCAGGTCTGAGGCAAGGGTTTCCTTGTCTCTTACCTTCTCATTGAGTGTCAACTCTAGTCCAGCGACCTCACGGTTGGCCTGGCACAACTGTACTTTGACCTTCTCGATTACCAACAGCATATAGCTGAGTGAATTTAGGGTCGAGATCTCACAGCATTTTATGCAGAATTCAGGCTTCTGCCGGCCAATGGTGGGTTGATTAGTAATTCTGAAGCCACGTGGTATTGTCTTTGCCCGGTAATACTCGGATAGAGTTTGACCATGTAGCTCTAGATCAATCCATTTTTTCTTTAGCCTCTTGATTTCTCTAAGGAGATCAGTTGCAGTGTCAGCCCCCAAAAGCTTTTGCTGTATCTGAGGGGAAAAGGATGGCCTCGGCATCCTCATTGCTGGGTGGGCGTGTTTGTTCATCCATAGGTGACAGGAGGGTTCGGTCTGCTATGAATCACAAGATGTGATAATAAAGCTTTTTCAAGTCGGCTGGGTGGGCGGGGGTGCACTTAATGGGTGATGCCACAATCGGTTACAGTCCATGTACCCATTGCACTCCTTACCGCTAATCCGTAGTAATAGGTTGGGTGCATCAGTAGTCGACGGATGGCCAACGTCTGAATAGTATATAGGAAATTATGGACACCGGCACTCCAAGGTAGAATAACGTCTTTTTATTGACGTTTCATGCAAAATGAGACAAAGTGAATCTATGAATTGGGAACTTTACAGCCTGGGGGTGGGGGAGGTCTCAATGTAAACTTAGATCTAAATTGTTTCATTGCTAATCTGTAATTTGGAGATTTCAGTGTATTTGGGTTTTTGAGATGTGCTATGATTGTATTTATATATTTAATTCATATTTGATATATATCATTTAAAATTTGTGTAGGCACATGAGGTGGATTAATTGAAAATTTGAATTATATTATTAATGAATGGGTTTTTTATTATTCATCTATCACTCTACAGTATCATTTATCTATAACATCTAAGTATTGGCTATTGCGTTATGATTTATATTGATGATTATCTTCTTATTGTTTGGTGGTGTTGGAAGACTGATCATCATCTGGTTCTTAATGCCTTAGTTGATGCCGGTCTGTTTATAGTGCTTTAGCTGATCCCAATTGGCATGTTTGCTATTTATTAAGATCTGTTATGTATTTTTACGATTATTGATAACACATCATTATATATGTCAATGAATAAATTTTATGATGTTCAAGACAATTAAGGATATTGAACATTACCTTTGGTGCCAGGGGCTTGTGGGGCATACACTGGTATTTTGACGTATGTCTAATAAGGTTGATGATTGATTTCATATATGTTACTAATATATATTAGTATATGCTATTAATCAAGAATTTATTATGATACCCAGGGAGACCTGTCATATTACCATTGGTGATACCAATGATATCTATTATGCCAATTGCTGTGCTTGTGCTATACATTACATGTTTATGGTTGGACTCTTATTGTCTGGATCCATCTACAAATGTGTTTTGGAATGAGTTCCTTAAGAGCCAATTAATTTTCTGTCCCCAAAAAATGGTATAAAATTCATTTCAGTACAGCGTTGCGTGACGGAATAAACGTCAGTCAAAGTACCGCAGCGCTGAACACTGAAAAATGGCCTGGCCAGGTAGGGGATCTAAACACCTGGTCTTCAAGCAGTTAAGTGGGAATTTCATGTGCCTGAATCCGATTGGGAACAAGCTTTGAAAGAAGTGCTGAAAGAGTTAATGGAGGGGAGATACAATATATGGGGTTTTCAGTATTCCGGTGTTTCGCAGCTCCTGTTGATGAAACGCATAGGGGCGGGTCTAATACTGCGATATCATGTAACTTGGTGGATTATCTGTGTGCATGGATTGCCTGTCGTGGCGCAGCATTTTTATTTGCAAGTGAGCTTAATGTTTTATCCGGGTGCAGGATTAGGCACCAAAGAATGAGAGTACCTGTGCATTGTTTTGTATTGTTTTACTAAGGAAATCATTTTATGCTAGAGCCTTCCTCAACATAATTTTTATGATTTATGAGAACATTTTGGAAGTCTGTGTTCATCTCCCGGATAGTTCATAATAACACACTGCGCTATATGACCTCTTTTTTTTTTTTGGAAGCAAGAGGGTCATATCCTTATGCTGAGTATGATTCCATTTGGGGTGTCTGTGGCACGGGGTGACTATCATGGAGGATAATAAATTGATATTACTTGCATGGTGGTGGATCGAGTAACCACTTGGATCCTTATGCCTTGGATGAACGTTTGTCACTGCTGATATTAGAATAGACTCAAGGTATAAATCTATTGTATTCCTACACAGTGGTGGATGTTTGCCGATCACACAATTTTGAATATTATGTATGATTAATGATACACTGTTACACTTTAATTTGCTTTTTGTACGTTATTGATATGCACAATAATTGTTATTGGATTAGAGAACTATGATCACATGATGTTGGACATTATGAAATAATGTTTACATGTTGTTGCACTTTAATTTGAGTTGTATATTGATTACTGCTTTAATTGGTATATAAATTATAATGAAATAGTTTTGATCTTTGACGGATTTTAATGGTACTCATATGACAAAGTATATTTGTTTTTAAAACATTTCATCTTTATTTAAACATCTCTGAAAAGCTTACAACCACAAGTTTTGCTGTAGCAGTGTCCAATATATGCCCCGGTACAAACTTTTCCTGAGAGAATATCTTGTTTTGTTCCTGGCAAATTACCACCTAGTGATATATTTTTAGTCGGCTTACACATATACAGTCCATATATCTTAAGATGCGCTAGATCTTTGTATGGTCAAGTGAACGAGGAAGACCTCAACATATTTCACAATATTTTGGGATCTCTTGCTTCAGGAGGCTCTCAGGTGAGTAGCGTTATACACAAAGAGAATAGACTGTTGATGCAACAAAAAAGGAAAAGGCATGAGCATAAACCTATATTGGAAAATTATATATTTATATGTCTGAAGACATGCAATTGTAGTGGAAAAAGGCAGAAATGTAATTCCGAGGTTCTTTATCTGTTGTCAATATTATATAACGATGTATTTCTATTTTTTTTTCAGAGATCCACCGTCAGGAGACTGAAAATATACTACTGCTAAGTTGTTATTCTTTAGCACATGATGGATCCCGGAGGACACAAGCTATATGAGTGCTCGGAGTGTGAGAGAAGCTTCATTTCAAAGTCACTTCTTACAGTTCACCAGAAGATTCATAATCAAGAGGATCCGTCTGAAAAGTACGAACAAAACAAGACAAATCTCACTGATCACCAGAGGAGTCTCACAGGAGAGAAGACATTTCAATGCTCAGAATGTGGTCAGTGTTTCCCAAAAAAGGACAATCTGTTTAAACACCAGAGGACTCACACTGGAGAGAAGCCATTCAGATGTTTAAAATGTGACAAGTGCTTCACACAAAAAAGAAATCTTACTAAACACCAGAGGACTCACACTGGACATAAATCATTTAGATGTTCAGAATGTGACAAGTGCTTCACACAAAAAGGAAATCTTATTGTACACCAGAGGATTCACACTGGAGAGAAGCCATTCAGATGTTCAGAATGTGACAAGTGCTTCACACAAAAAGGAAATCTTATTGTACACCAGAGGATTCACACTGGAGAGAAGCCATTCAGATGTTCAGAATGTGACAAGTGCTTCACACAAAAGGGATCTCTTACTCACCACCAGAGGACTCACACTGGGGAGAAACCATTTAAATGCTCAGAATGTGATAAGAGCTTCAGACTAAAGATAACACTTACTGAGCACCAGATTATACACACGGGGGCGAAACCATATAGATGTTCAGAGTGCGACATGTGCTTCTCACGAAAGAGCAATCTTATTAATCATCAGATGATCCACACAGGAGAGAAACCATACAGCTGTTCAGAATGTGACAACTGCTTTTTAATAAAGAAATATCTCACTAAACACCAGAAGATCCACACAGGAGAGAAACCTTTTAAATGTCCAGAATGTGACAAGAGCTTTGCACGAAAGATAAATCTTACTGAGCACCAGAAAACCCACACAGGAGAAAAGTTATTTAAATGTTCAGAATGTGACAACTGCTTTTTAATAAAGAAATATCTCACTAAACACCAGAAGATCCACACAGGAGAGAAACCATACAGCTGTTCAGAATGTGACAAAAGTTTATCCTCCAAATTTCAGCTAAGTGTTCACTGGAGTACTCACACAGGAGAGAAACCACCCCACTGTCCAGAATGTGACAAATGTTTCACCACCAAATATCAGCTCGTTGATCATCAGAAGACTCACACTGGAGAGAAACCTTTTAAATGTCCAGAATGTGACAAGAGATTTGCACGAAAGATAAATCTTATTGGACACCAGAAAACTCACACAGGAGAAAAGTTATTTAAATGTCCAGAATGTGACAACTGCTTTTTCATAAAGACATATCTCACTAAACACCAGAAGATCCACACAGGAGAGAAACAATACAGCTGTTCAGAATGTGACAAGAGCTTCACCTCCAAATCTCAGCTAAGTGTTCACTGGAGGACTCACACAGGAGAGAAACCACACCACTGTCCAGAATGTGACAAATGTTTCACCACCAAATCTCAGCTCGTTGATCATCAGAAGACTCACACTGGAGAGAAGCCTTTTAAATGTCCAGAATGTGACAAGAGATTTGCACGAAAGATAAATCTTACTGAGCACCAGAAGATCCACACAGGCGAGAAACCATACAGGTGTTCAGAATGTGACAAGAGCTTCACCTCCAAATATCAGCTAAGTGTTCACTGGAGGACTCACACAGGAGAGAAACTACCCCACTGTCCAGAATTTGACAAATGTTTCACCACCAAATCTCAGCTCGTTGATCACCAGAAGACTCACACAGGAGAGAAACCTTTTAAATGCTCAGAATGTGACAAGTGCTTTTCAATGAAGAAATATCTCATTAAACACCAGAAGATCCACACAGGAGAGAAACCATACAGGTGTTCAGAATGTGACAAATGTTTCACCACCAAATCTCAGCTAAGTGTTCACTGGAGGACTCACACAGGAGAGAAGCCATTTCAATGTTTAAAGTGTGACAAGAGCTTCACACAAAAGATGCATCTTTTTCAACACCAGAAAATCTGCAATGAAATAGTGGTGTTGTTTTAATACTCTGGATTAAAAGTACTTCATTCAAAAGTTACATTCTATTGGACGCTGGAGGAATCACCTAGGAGAGAAGCCCTATCCATATTCTGAAAGTGATACATTTCACATTATAGAAATATCGGCTTTTATCTCTCAGACCCCCATTCACATTTGGGAATGGGACCGATTGCAAGATTCTCATGAATTCCTCCATGAGACCTCTGTGATCAGCTGCATCCAGCTATGATCATCCGCAGCTAATCGCAGCACGTGTTATTATGTGTGAACAGCTGCAAATGTCAGTGGGTGGTGGTAACTGTCATTAAACTGTACAGCCCCCCCTACCCGCAGCTGACCACATGTTTCTTGGGGAGGAATTCATAAGATTCATGGGATCGTCCCCATTCACAAGACTGTGCTGATAACCTAAACACAAATCTCGGTCAAAACCACATTGGGGTGGATTTTCTAAATGCGTAGAGACTGTTGACTTGGCAATCTGTATGTTCACTTAGCTTATTAAACAAGGTGAAGATGTGATCACTTTGAATTCACAGTGTTGTTCAAGAGGACAGAATTGGTTTCCTTTCTCAAAACTGGATAATAGAATGAAACATCTTTACCTTGCTGACCTTGCTGGCGAATAGCTCCCCCCTGCTACACGTACCTGTGCCCTGGTCTGCTGGAGAGGTGGATGTTGGCTGGTCTGTCCCGGATGCCGCTCTGAGTCGCGGTGAGTGAAGGCTGGCTGGGAGGGCAGAAGGAGCTCTGGTGCCGTTCTGCTGTTGGCTCCCTCCGGTAGCTCTGAGTGGAAGTGCAGAGAGCTGGAGGTTGGTGATTTGGCTCCCCCTCGTGGCAACTAAGGAATAGTGTGCCTGCTCAGTATTCTTTGTTTGTATGAAAGGAAAAAAAATATATAAAGAAAATGACTAGAACTGGGCCAAAAATAGACTGTTCAAGAGGCTGATAGTAGAGGGGGAACTAAGCAATCACCATGTGAGCCAAAACAGTCCAGTAAAGAGAAGCAGAAAGAAGTGGCTTCAAAATTGGAAAAGTTTGCCAGAGGAAATACCACAGGTATTGATGCCAACCAAAAAAACAAAATGTGATTAAGTCTTGGAGATAAGTCTCTCTGTAAAGTTTCCAAGGATCTGTTTTTGGAAGAAGGGGGGGCCACAGGGGGGACTTTTGACATATCTAATGGACATCTATCCCTGCAAGATTCTGATACCCCAGGTGACCCTACTCTCAAGGATGTGTTTTCAGCAGTCCAAGCCAGTAATACCACTCTGGCTTCCATGGCGGAGCAAATACAAGCTACACTGATAGATATATCCTTTCTCAGGCAAGATATGCAGAAGTTCAGAGAAAGGCTGACGGAGGCAGAAAACAGAATTAATAAACTGTAGGATGTAAATGCTTCTGTATGTGCCGATCTTAAAATGGAGTTGCAAAAAGTTAATATTAATTCTAGTACGATCGAAGAATTGAAAAACAGAGCAATGCGCAATAACATCAGAATGGTGGGAATGCCTGAACAGTCTGAGGGGTTAAATCCGGTGGCGTATATGGAAAATTGGATCCTAGAGACAATAGGAAAAGAACAATTATCTCCTATGTTTATAATTGAAAGAGCTTATAGAATTCCTGCACACACGAAGGTGCATGGAAAATTTCCAGGGACTATGTTGCTCAAAGTGACCAATTACAATAGTCAAACTTAATGGATAGGAAAAAAAAATATCTATAATATCTTGGAATGTTAGGGGTCTGGGGAATAGGACAAAGCGATGTGCGGTACTATCCAGCATTATGTCTCCTAAGCCATCAATTATTTGTCTGCAGGAAACGCATCTGATGGGAGATAGTGTTGGATGGTTGGAACGCAGAATTTTGCAATATACAGCTCATGCATGTTATTCAACATACTCTAGAGGGGTATCAATACTAGTTTGTAAAGGTATAGCTTTCTCATGTATACAAGCATTGTGTGATAAAGAGGGTAGATATGTATTTATGCATTGTAAAATCTATGAAGTAGAATGTGCGCTGGTAAACATATATATCCCTCCTCCCTACTCTAATGAGGTCCTCCGGAAGCTGTTATTATTTATTAAAGATAAGTTACCTATTTATGTTATTGTGATGGGGATATTATATGAATATAACACTAGACAAATTCCTGGTAAATAAGCACTTGGATGTCACAAAAAAACGCTTCTTTTTACAATTTCTCTAAATAAATTGGGTTATTAGATGTGTGGCGGATGTTGCACAAGAGGGACACCAATACACATGTTTTTCGAAGCCACATAACACATGATCAAGGATAGATTTAGTTTTGTGTTCAGTTGATGTAATACCACTAATTAAATCGGTTGAGATACAACCAAGATCACTTTCAGATCACTCGCCAATAATCACTATAATTGAAACTGGGGGAAGTTTTTTTTAGATTAGATTGCCTTGGAAATTAAATCCGGGATGGTTAATTATATTGTCAGCACAAGAGAAGTTAGAAAATGAGATATCAATGTTTTGTGAGCACAGATATTAATTATGCGTCACATGGGGTAGTATGGGACTCTTTGAAAGCATATATGAGGGGATATTTATGTCAGCAGATTAGTAGGACAAGGAGGCAATGGAATAGGGAGGAGGAAGGAAGAGGCTCGTAAAGAAGTGACTCGTTTAAAGACGCAGTTTGTGGCAAATCCTAACGTAACAGCTTGTGATGAGTGGACCGCTGCACAAGAACAACTGAAGCATATTGAAAATAAGAAAGCAAAAAATTAAACTATTTTTTAGTAATCAAAAGTACTGGGAGGAAGGAGAGAGTTCTGGAAGACTGCTGGCACAGTTGGTGAAGGCACAAGAGCAAGTTCCGTTTGTAAATGTGTTGAAGGATACGGATGGCCAATTGTGCAGCAGGTCCGACAGAGTTCTCTCAATCTTCAAACAGTATTATGAAGGGGTTTATACCGCTAGAGCAACCTATAGCAGTGTAGATCTGGCAAGCTATATAGGTAACATCCCATGTAATACGTTATCCCAGGTTGATAGGGATAGTCTGGAAACTCCTCTCACTATTCAAGAATTAGAGGTAGCCGTGGCTAGTTTTCCAAAGGGGAAAGCTCCGGGTTTGGATGGGTTACCAATAGAGATATATGAGAAATATGCCTCTACTTTGTTTCCGGCATTGTTACAAACTTTTGAGGAAGCTTTAGAAATAGGGATCAATGTATGTGGCTGCAATTATTCTTCTACAAAAGAAGGGGAAGGATGCGTTACTGCCGGAGTCATATAGGCCTATATCTTTGCTGGGATCTGATGTTAAGATTTTGGCAAAAGTTCTGGCGAATAGGCTATGTAAGGTTATTCAGAAGATAATAAACTCGGATCAAAGCGGATTTATGCCTAATAAGTCAACGGCAGATAATGTGCGAAGGTTATATGTGAATATGCAAGTTCCCTCAGAGATAATGGGGAATAGAGCTTTGTTGTCCCTGGACATTGCCAAAGCATTTGATAGTGTGGAATGGGATTATCTATGGGCAATATTAAGAGCATTTGGGTTTGGCCCCCGATATATTTCATATATTCAACTACTATATGCCAATCCTTTGGCTAAAATACAAGTAAATAAAGCCCTATCCCCAGCTTTTAAACTGATGAGGGAAACTAGACAGGGGTGTCCCCTGTCTCCCCTGTTATTTGCATTATCTATAGAACCGTTAGCTAACTTAATAAGAAATTCAGATTAGATAGTGGGGTTTAAGCGGGGTAAGGCAGAGGATAAGATACTACTATATGCAGACGATACATTGGTCTTTTTAGCTGATACTAACCACTCTCTACTAGAAGTGATGTCTCTACTTCTGGAATTTGGTTTGGCCCCCGATATATTTCATATATTCAACTACTATATGCCAATCCTTTGGCTAAAATACAAGTAAATAAAGCCCTATCCCCAGCTTTTAAACTGATGAGGGAAACTAGACAGGGGTGTCCCCTGTCTCCCCTGTTATTTGCATTATCTATAGAACCGTTAGCTAACTTAATAAGAAATTCAGATTAGATAGTGGGGTTTAAGCGGGGTAAGGCAGAGGATAAGATACTACTATATGCAGACGATACATTGGTCTTTTTAGCTGATACTAACCACTCTCTACTAGAAGTGATGTCTCTACTTCTGGAATTTGGTTGGTTCTCAGGGCTATGTGTAAACTGGGAAAAATCTATGTTACTTCCGATTGATCCTCTTCCATGTCCACTGCCGATGCAAATTCAGCATATACAAATAGAAGAATCATTTGTCTATTCGGGTGTCAGGATTAGAGTAAACGTTGAGGCATATTTAGAAAATAATTTAATATCAATTTTGCAGCAATTTCAGAAACAATGCAAGGTATGGTGTAAATTCCCCCTTTTGCCAGTTGGCAGATTAAATCTTATCAAAATGATTTGGATGCCCCAACTCTCCTATGTACTGTACAATTCTCCATGCTGGATTTCTCAAACTATATTTAGGAGGATAAATACAGTATTTAGGGAGTTGATGTGGAAGAAGAAACAAGCACGGATAAAACTAGAAATCTTGCAATATCCTAAGAGAACCGGCGGTTTGGCACTTCCAAATCCATGGATAATGTTTTTGGCCACACAGTTTAGACACCTGGCGGGATGGAACTTGCCAGGACAGAGGATAGGGGCATATGATATTATTAAATGTCTGTTTTACAATAGGGACCCCCTTATGGCCCTTGAAACTACTTTATATTGGAAAGAATTTTCAAATCTTCCCACCTTAAGATTAATTGGTAAAATGTGGAAATCAATTAAGGGTTTATTGGATTTTTCTGACTTTACAAAATACACTCAGATATGGGATAATGGGGTACTGTACGAGGTAAACAAACTCCAGGGATTGAATCATTGGCGCAAATCTATGATCAGGGTATTTTGTGCTAACAGCTACAGGCAAGTTATTTGCTACCGAATGCTCAATTTTATAAATATCT